CACTTAATCAGATGCTCCTTGAAGACAGTGACTCCCATTCTCACAGCAGGCTAATCTGGGATGTCTTGCACATGGGTACAGTGTGCCACAGCCTGAAGGTCAACTTCTGCAGGACCCTGGAGCTATATCTTGTCTCTGTGCAAGGCAGAGACTGCACTGGGTTTCTCACCTTCCCACTGCATGTGTGTAAGTTCTTCTGTGTATAGGTATCCTAAATGTCAGAGGACATGCAAAATATCTGTGTACTGGTTGTAATGGTTCTGGTGATAATTCCCCTCTCAGTTATGCAGATAATTTGATGTAACCGGTTTGTGTACAAGGCAAAAAGAAAATTCCAGTAAAACAACACTATTAAGGCTGCTAAGGCAAGTAGTCAATGTGAGAAGAGCTGTTCTTCATGCTGCCCACACATGGTTAACTCTCCTCTGTCACAGGGTGATGCTACAATACAGTCCTAATTTCAGGAGCACTCACTGTTGTCACAAAAGACACATTTTAAGAAGGCATTTGAAGATTTTAAACTAGTGAAATACAGAGACAGACATATTCTAGAAAAATGTTTTAATGGAGAAAAGAGAGAAAAGGATAGGTTTGGGCAATATTAATTAGGAAGACATGACAGAAATTAGAAAAACGAGGACGTGGGTGGAGCAGCAGAGGCCAAATGATTACCCCAAGGTGTCAAAGAAGATGTAGATAAATTAAAGCTGGAGGAATTGCTTTACTGGTGCACTTGGTAATTCTTTCCACCAGTCACGTCCTTCTGTGAGCAGTGAGCACCTGGATCTTCTGGCTCTTTGTACACCATTCATTGAACAGCAGACACTGTCAGGCCAGTTCTGCTCCATGCCTCCCCTTTGTCCACAACATGGGTCTCCTTGGCACGCGCCTGTTCCCCGTACCCACTTGTCTGACGCTTCAGTTTCTCCCCATGGGACAATGACTCCAGGATGCTGTGAAGAACCTCTCCTATGCCCACAGAGACACCATGGTTTCCCTCCGCTCAGCTCGACATTGT